ACACACACACACACACACACACACACACACACACACACACACACACAAATACACCTTTTCCACCTACCCAACCAAATCCGCTAGCTCAGAATTCACTTCACAGCATCCTCAACAAGTGTTCATTCAGCTTCTGCTTGAGGATTTTCCAGAGATTAAAAAAAAGAAAAAAGCCCTCCATCTTCCGAAGCAGTTTATTTCACTGCTGAAAAATGAAACGCATCCCAAGCAACCTATTTGTTATACAGAGAGTGGAAAAACTGGGAGATTGAAAGGGGAAAATGAGCCTGGGAGTGGGCTCTCATCCAGAACACAGTGCAGGGAAACTGGCAGCCAAAGTCCCTTTCTAAACCTGTTTTATACTTCTGAAAAATGGACAGAACTATTCCTATATACCTTAGGTGAGAAGATAGATGAAATAAGCAAAGAAGCCCAGGGCAGAATTCCATCATAATGAAAAATGAATGTTTCTGTGGTTAAAATTCATAATACTAATTCATCCATCTAGGGAGCCTGGTTCCCATTTCTTTCCTGAAGGGAGAGGAAAGATCTCATCACATCTAGAAAGTGTGAGAAGGATGATGATAGGTGAACAGAAAGCAGTTCCATCTATTAGCTATATGACCTGGGCTGGTCATCTTATTTATCTGATCCTCAGTTTCCCCATCTATAAAATAACTATTTAACTCAATGATTTTTAAGATTTCTTCTGTTTGTACTTAACACAGTCCTTGGTAAATAACAATTACTTAATAAATGTTTTTCCATTCCATTCTCTTCTTCCTGCTCTAATATTCTGTGACTCCATCAAAATCCAGTCCTTTTCCTCATCAGATTGTTCTTGGAGGGGTGGAGGGGGAAGATGAAGATATGTGGTTTCATACTGAATTTCACTTTCTTCTTTTTCCCTCCCCTGCCCCTGCTAAGTGTATTTCACTCCATTCATAAAGTGGAGGTTATAGAATGTTAGAACTGAAAAGATTCTAAAATATAGAATGTTAGAACAAAAAACAGTAGAGCCAGAAGAGACCTTATAGCATTTAATGTTAGAAGTAGAAAAAAATCATCTAGTCAAACTCATTCCATTTATATTAAGGGAAGTAGATCCAAAGGGAGGAAGTGACTTTCCTAAGAATACACAGAGAGTTAAGTCATCCCCATTGCTCTCCTCTCCATTCTCCTCTCTTCTGTGTGACTTTCTGGAGATCTAGTCAGAGTCAAAGGACCTGGCAAGGGCCATGAAACCACCAGAGGTTCTTTCTATGGCTTTTAATTTCTAACCTATTTCAAGATCTCTGTAGGAGAGTCTGGGTCATTCCTTGGTGATTGTCATGAGTGTTAAACTCTGGCTCTCTTCTTATATTTGCACATGCAAGACTATATGCAAATATGTCACTGTACTTTTGTGAACATATACTTGAGGAAATGTGTGTGTAATTTGTAAGTATATGCATGTATATATGACTCTCATGTACCCACATTATATTTATGCATGGATGTGCACATGTGGCATGGACAGTGTTGAATAAAACTGTCTCTCTGTGAGCTCAATTTCTCCCTCTGTCAGATGAACTGGTTGGACTACATGATTTCTAATCTGTCCTGTCTTATATTCTGTCGTGGTATTGAGTGTGTGTGTGTGTGTGTGTGTGTGTGACAGAAAGAGAGAGACAGAGAGAGAAAGAGAGAGAGATGAAGGGAGGAGAGAGACAGAGAGAAGAGACCAAAGAGAGGAGAGAGAGAGAAAGGGAGAGAGATAGAGGGAGGGGAGGGAGAGGGGAGAGAGAAAGAGAGATGAAGAGAGAAAGATAGATATGAAGGTAGGGCAGAGAAGAAAGAGAGGGAGAAAGAGAGAGAGATGAAGGGAGGGAAGAGAGAAAGAGAAAGGGCAAGAAAAAAGGAGCAGAGAGAATGGGGGAGAGAGATTCCTTCTTAATTATATGGAGTTATCTGAACCTACTGCTGGGTCTGTCACTTCCTCTAACCCTTTTTATTCTGCCCCAGAAAGTGAGACTCCCAGTGCCCAGCTTGAGCTGTGCTGCCCTCTGAGGCCTGTTGAATAGTGTTGAGGTTGAGCCAAAGGATTCCTTCCTGTCCTTTCAGCCCTGTTCTCTATGCTGGCCCCACTTCATGCAGGACACAGGGCACTGGCTTTCACAAATAATAGCTTCATTAGATTGAAAGGAGAAGAAAGTGACCTCAGTGAAATGGACTTTGTGACCCCAGCTGACCTTTGACCCTCACCCTGACAGCCTCTAAATCTTTTCCTCTGTCCTGTTTCTCTTGAGTTATCCCTTCAAGGTGAGAGCAGGAAGCAAGAGCTGTGTCCT